TTTGTTATTGATTAAATATAATAAATATTAAAATGAAAATTAGATATTATAGAAATTAAAGAGATAATAGAATACAGAAGAATAAAGATAAATAAAGAAGAATATATAGAGATAAATAAAAGAAGAAGATGAATAGATGAAAGAAAAAAGAAAAAGATAATAGAAATAACAATAAATATAATAAATAATTATACATTCATTCAATAAACTGAGAGAAATAATGATAAACAACATGAAAGATGAAATAAATAATAATAAAATGAAATAACACAAAAAAATAAAGAAAAATAAATAAATAAAATAACATATATTAATTATTATTTCAATAAAAAACATATGATGAAATAATTAAATATATAAATGAAGAATGAAAGTATGAAAGTGAAAATATAGAAGATATCAAAAAATATAAAATATCATACTATATTTCTAAATATCAATAAAATAATTTTATAAGATATCAAAATGATGAAATTAATTATCTAAGAAGAAGATCAAATAAATTAAAATAATTATTAATTAACAAGAAATACACTTAGAATTAAAAGAATAATGAAAAATAAATAATATAATAATGAATATATTATTAATAAAACATGAAATTAAACAAATATATTTAATTAATAATAAGAAGAAAAGAATAGAAATTAATAAAGAAGATAGAATAAGAATAAGTAAAAATGTAATAATAAGAAATGGGAAGAAGAATAAAGAAAAAAGAAATGAAGATATAGAATATCCAATTGATGATGATAAAATTAAATTGTTGAAATTGATATATGAAATGGAGAAATAGACATTAATAATAAATATAATAGAAGAATCATAGAAGAAGGAAGAAAGAATACTAACAACAAGAGAATTAAAATATCAATAGATGAAATAGAATATGCACTAAAAAGAAACCATGGAAAGCACATGGTATTGATTGAATACAATGATATTATTTGAATCATCTATGAGTACAGAGATAAACTACTAGAAATATTCTAATCATGGTTAGAGTACCAACAAAGTATCCTCATGCAGATGGTAGTTTGAAAGACATCATTAATTTACAATTGTGGTGATTCTAAATCACCAGAAAACTATAAACAAATATCTTGTTTTAATATAACAATGAAAGTATTCACATCAACTATTAAAAGTAAAATCACACACTAACTACAAATAAATGATATTGAATACAAAATAGATAAAAGTCAAATATGGTGTAAAGGACAACGAAAAAAGCAAACAAGATAAAAAATGAAGAGAAAGAAGTGTATAAAAGAAACAGTGAAAGTAGGAATAGAAGAAGATGAAAGAATAAAAGTAGAAAGTTGAGAATATAAAAAGGAAAAAAGATAAAAAGTGGTAGATCAAAAAGAAATAATAAATAATGAAAATGATGATGAAATAATCATTTTATTACATAAATTAGAAATGTGCAATAAAAAGTGTCTGTTCTATTGATACAAATTAATTAATATTGTTTTATTGATATAAAATATTTATTCAATTTTCTTTTTGGTGTTTTTATTTAGATGCATTATTTCTTTGCTTATTTTGGTTCATTGATTTGTTTATTTCAATGAATCTTGATTTGGTATTGTCTTCTCTGTTTTCATAATAACCTGTTAGAAATGTGTAGAAAACAAATGTATTTCTTTTCTAAATCCAACATCAATTTTACCATGAATAATCCATTTTGCAGATGTTCCATCTGAATAACATCATCTTGTATAAATATTTTGATGTTGATTTACAATATGAAAACATGATAAAATACATACACCATCAACTCGATAGATATCAATTTTGATGTTTCTAAATGAGTTTCATACACAAATTCTTATTATTTTAGTTTTTCTAAGAAGATTATTTGTTTAGATGAAATATACCAAACAACTCTTGAAATGATACTATATCATACTTGTTAAGTTCTTCATCATCAAATCTCATTATTCTTTCTTATAATCATTTCATTGTACAATAATTCATGATTGATAAGAATGAATAATAGAATTAATTTAAATATTTGATGTTGAAGAGGATTAATCACCAATTTATTGTTTGAAAGATGACATTCAATCAGATATAAAGTGAAAAATATAATGATTGATTTGTTTATTTTTTAATTTAGAATAATGATTGATGTGTTTTATACTCTATGATAAGAGTATAATGAATAAGATATAATAATATTCTGATAATATTATTTGATAATATCATTCTCTATTTGAAGAACATTCACTTTTATCAACTCTCTCTTTTTCTAATTATTTAATGAATCATATGAAAAATATGAATGAGAATTCTCACAATTGAATGTTGAAGTAAGAAAAATACTTCATTCAACAAAAATCAAAATAAATGATAAAATAAATGTGTTTGTTTATTTTATTTAGAATTTCATTGTTTTTGTATCTTCTTTCTCTTTATCTTTCATAATTACTTCATCATCAATATTAATCATGATAGTTTGTTTCATAAAAATAAATTTATTATGTTTTGATTTTGAATATCATCAAATAAATTAACAACGTGTTATATCTTTATTATTTAACATTATTTTAATATCAATTTGTTGTTTGTATTTAGAAGAATAAAATAATTAATAATGATTATATATTTGAATTATTCTTTGTTTATTATATCTTCTTTATTTATATTCATTTCTTCTTATTCTTTATTTCTTTATTTTTCATTCTTGTTGTTTCTTTCATATTTATATTCATTATTGATATTATCATTATTGTTATATATTTATTATTATTATTTATTTCTCTATTTCATTGATAAATTTCATTATCATAATGATGTATTGTTATTCTTGTTGTATATTATTTATCTTTTCATCTTATTGTTATTGTTATTTTATTTTATTATTATTTATTGTTTGTTTTGATTTATCTCTTTCTTCTTTTTCAATCTTTAATATCTTCTTTTAATTTCTTGATAATGTTGTGTTGTTTGTCAATTTCTTCTTTATTATCTTCTTCTTGTATTTTTATTTAATATTTATTACAATTAAGATGTTATTCATTTATACAAATGCAAGGTATCTGAAACACACTATAATTTTCTTTCTCTTTTATTTCAACAAATGTATTATCCACAAAATACAATAAAAATAACATGCATTATTCAATAACTACTATTCAAATATATTACTTTTCTAAACCATCAACAAGACTGAAATTTATATATTTTAATTTCATCAATTCATAAAGAATAAATTGAATGATGAAGTTATATAGTTTCTGAAGTTTTTTCTTTCATTCGTTTTGTTGAAGTATTAACATAATTTGTTTAGTCAACAAACTTCAAAGTACTTTTATTAATATCCTCTTTGAAAGATTTATCATCTCCAAATCTTATCTTTATTAAGTCTCACTACATTCAATGGTATATTTAATCAAACAGTATAATGTTCTTGAACCATCGTCCATGAACAGGAAGTCATCTTTTCAATACACAAAGAATAAATTCAATAATGAAGTTGTTGATTATTCAAACTAAAACTCGTTTTAAATACCTACCAATAATCAAATCATTAAAGAATCACAGATTGAAAGGAAAATACAAACAAAATAGGAGATAATGAATAGATTTTGGTAATATTACACAATGTGTTGTTTTAACAAATGTGTTTATTGTCTGAATACAAATTAATTAATCTATAAAACGTAAGACAAACTGTTTATGAAATAGTTATTTGACACATATCAGAACACTGTGTAATATAAAAATTAACACAAATCCAACAAACGAAATGTCTATAACAATATTCCCTTTCAAATTAAATAGTTTAAAAAAGTGTGCTTAATTCAATAACATTCTCTCCATATGTTCTTTTCATTTAAGAAAGAAACGTCAAGGGGTTGTAAACAAAGGACAAATTAATGTATTGAATGTTGAACAAATTTAATAAATGTGCCCAAATTTCAACCAAATAAATGAATAGTGGTATTCATCCAATTTCACAAATGAGTAAAGTAATAAGACTTCAAACATGTTTTCTATTCAATGAGTTAATTATTAAGTTATGTCAGTTAGAGTGTTAAATGACTATAAAATATAATTATCATTACTAGTTTGAAACAATTAGAATTCAATACTTTTCTACAAAATGGTTGACATTTTAAACTTGTTAAAATAACAACCACAACCCAGAAGATTTCACTATTCATAAAACTGTTCATGTTTATCATTTCACTTAATTCACTTATTTTTACATTTTTCATAGTGAAAAATACTTTTAAGAGTTACATGAATTGGTTATTTATTAACAACTTCACACAAGAACATAGTTTTTGTCAGTTTTAGATTATTTTTGAATATATTGATAGTAGATTTAGTTTTAATTACTCATGTCTTTCATTCAAGTTTTACGAACAACATCTATCACACAAGAAATATAACTTATTTGAAGAAGTTTGAATCATTAAAATCATGTTGTAGTGAAAAATGAAGGTATTAAAATTGACTTATGATAAAAAAATTGAAATGAGCAATTGTTAGTTATAAAAACAATGAAACAGAGGTTGTTTAGTAGAGAAATGTTGATTGGCTGTTGTTTTTTCTTAGATACACTTGTTGTTTTTAATTATTTTTAGTCACAAAGAAAAAGATAAATATTTGAGTCAGTGTCATCATAAAAAAAGTTCCAATCATAAAAACTAAAAAACTCCTTTCAAACTAAGCAATCATGACATTTGCACAAGTTTTAGAAGATAAATAAAAACATCACAACAATAAAACAATTGTAAAAGTATATTTTTTTTAAAAAGGAAAAAAAAGATAGAAAAAGTTGAACTATTAATAACTCAATGATTTAAAGAGAAGAATATAGAAGAAAAAAATATGAAATAATTAATACTTACTATTCAGTTTTAATTTCATTCAAAATATCATTCAATAAATTCACACGTCAATATAATGTGGCGCTTGTTGTAGACACGTCTGTTATTGGTACTTGAAAAAAAAGAAAATTCAAAAAAAACAATCATACAGAAATGGAAACAGAAAGTCTTAGTGCCTTTCATTCAGTTCGCCTTATGTGTGACTCTGATGGACAACTTCTTTTACGTCCAATTAATTCAGAGCCAAATTCTGTAGATATTGAACTTAACCAAAAGGATAATAAAAAAGAATTAACTTCAAGCAAGTCTAAACAAAATAAAAAACAAGAAACATACCAAGAAGAAATGCTCAATGCTAAGAGGAAATCAAAGAACAGAGATGCAGCTCAACAATCATTTTTAATAGGGTTACTTGCAACATTTGGATATGAATTAAAAATTAATAAGTTATACAAAAAAGGAAAAACAACAAGTCAACTATTTACTATTAGTTCAATTAAAAAAGATGGAACATTAGTTTATAAAAGTTATGACGTTGTTCCAGAAGTTGAAGATTTAAGAGATAAACGAAGATGTTTAGATGCAGTGACTAATTCAAAATTACTTGATTTAGCTTTAAATCATCCAGAAGTAATTGTTGTAGAGAAGAAATGTAGAATATCAAAATATGGACATGCTATTGGAATGAGAAGAATTAAAACATTTTCATTAAATGGTTGTACTTTAAGAATTCAAGATATAACAAAGTTAGGTGCTCAAGTTCATGATATGATTCTTGAACATATGGGAGAAAAAGATTGTCTTGTTAGTATCCAATCATATGATATCACTTCTATTATTCAAAATTATTTATCTCATAGAATTAAACAAGAAAGTGGTAATAGTGATACTGTCGATGATTTGTTGTAAATTAAATATATTACGATTTGTTCATTGTTTTCTTTTTTTTTAAAGATATAAAAAAAATTAAATGTTCTTTTAAATTAAAACAAAAGTCCATCATCTTCTATTGGTGATTCAATGTCATCAACTTGTTGATAATCAAGATTATTTTCTATTTCAAGAGGATTAACTTCAATTCCAAGAGCATTACATGATTCAATAATTTGTTTTTGAATTTCATCAGTTTCTTTTTCTAAATCCCTTCCTTTTCTTTCAAGTGCAGTAGCTTCCATTTCTAATTCTCTTTTTCTTGTTTGAATAAAATCATTTAATTTTTTAATTTCATCTTCTAATTCCTTTATTTTAGTTTCTCCATTTGTGTTGATTATTTCTATTTCTTCAATCTTCTTTAATAACTCATCTCTCTCATTTTTAAGCTTTTGATTCTCTTGTTTTTTTTGTTCTAATGATGCCTTTGTTTCTTTTACTTTCTTTTTAACTTCAACAAGCTCAATTTCTTTATCATCTTGTTCTAATTTCTTATTGTTAATATCATCTAACGTATAATTTTTAATTGACTTGATTGTGTCCTGATGTTCTTGTTGTCGTTTGGATAATTCCTCACATTTTATTTGTTTTTCACTAAACTCCTTTTTTATTTTTAATAGTTGTTCTTCTTTTATTTTGATTTCCTCTTTTGTCTTTTCTATTTTCTTTTCTTCTATTTGGAGTGAATTTAACTCTTTTTCTTTTTCTTCAACTTGTTTTATTGTCATAAGAGGAACTCTTTTTTGTGCTATTTCTTGTGAGACAAGTAATCCATCGAGTTGTTTTAATGATTGAATAATTTCATCTCGTTTTGTGATATACTTTTCTTCAAATGGGTCATGGAGTTTTTTCATTGCTTGAACAATCAATTGAATCATTTCATCTTCTTTTTTATCGTTAATAAGATCAACTACTTTCATTTTATAGATAAATGGTTCTTGTTTGTTCATTGGTGTTATATAATACAAATAATTATTTTCCAGTTTTTTTCTGAATAAAACAAAATTCAAATATATTTTTATGTTATAAATTGTTATTTTCTAAAAAAAAAATAAAAATGAAATAAAATAATAAAAGAATCTATTACACTCTTTATGGGAATAATGGAGTCCAATCAAACTCTTCTCCTACAAATGTAATTTGGAAATATTTTAATTCAGATCCTGGTTTATATGGACAATAATATTTGAAATAAAGAGTTCCAGTAGCTCCAACACTAGTTGCTTTAACAAGGAAATAGAATTCTACATTTTCTTCAGCTGGGTCTTGTGGATTATTCTTCTTTAAATTAGAGACTTCAATACCAGGAGCAGTATTTAATACTTCCCAAAGATATCCAGCTCTATCAGTATCAATAAATGAAAGTTTTACATTAGTAATTACATAACATGGAACAGTTTGGTTTGCATTATCAACATTATATTCAGCAGCAATATAATAACTAAGAACAATAAGAATTTCTTCATAAGTAAGTTCAGTTTTCTTTGGATGAAGTCTTTCTACAATTTTTTCATAATTATTACTTAACATAAGAGCATTTTCAATTTTCTCTTCAATTCTTTTTTGTGATACTTGCACTTCTTTAGATATTTCAATAGCATTAGAACATACAAGGAATGTAATCAAAAGAATACCTTTAAACATGAGATGAATTTAATTCATTAGTTCTACCTTTATATAGTATCTTATGACATGGAGGGGGGTAAAAAATCATATATAATTTTATTGAAAAACGATAACTACAAGTATTTAATCTGTAATTTTATTTTCTTCGAACCTTTTTTTGATTTTATAGTTCTATTTATTTTTCTGTAACCGTTTCTTTTTTACTATTTTTTTTTAATTCTATTAATCTTAATTTTTCTATAAAACCATTTCTTGAATCATAATTCAGTTGGATTGACTTATTTTTTATAACTAGCGTTACATGTAACTATTCTTCTGAAAATACTCAACAAGAAATAAATAAAAGTGATAAATTAAAAAGGAAAGAATGATTATAATTAATATAAAATATGGATTTCCAAAATATATTAAAATTAAAATATTCCACATCATTTTAAATTCTATAAAAAGAACCAAAAAGAGGAATTTTATTTTTTGTTTCGAGTTTTATTTTCAAATCCTTTTTAAAGTATATCTCTTCTCAAAACAAAATATATGTTGTGATAATAATACAAATCAAATAACTCAATCATTTTGAAAATACAATTTGTTATAAACAAAAGAAAAAAGGATATTTTCTGGAAATATTTTAAAAGAAAACATTACAAAAGAAATAAATATTATTAAATTAAAAATGATTTTTTTTCAATCAACAATGTATTTCTTTGATGGTTTGGGTTTTACTCCTTCAGGAACACTTCTTTTAATACCTGAATGAGTATTATTTTTTGAAAGTATTTTAGAATCATTATCAGTTGATAATGAAAGAGGAACAGAAGTAGAAGAAGGATGTGGTTGTTTTAATAAAAGTTCTCTTTCTTTCTTTTTCATAAATGACCTAATAGTTTCTCCATACTGATATTTTACAAATATTAATCTAATATCTTCTTTTTCTAATATCGTTGCTTTTAATCTATCACTTTCATTTTTAACTATAATAAATAATTGTCTTCCAATTGCATCATCATAAAATTTATAACGAACTACATGTTCTTCTTTAAATCGATTTATTTCTTTTTTCCATAAATCAATTTGTTTTTGAATGGTTCGAGGTAAATTTGGTTGTAAGAAATTAATTAACATTTCACTAGTAATACCTTTTGCAAATGCTTCTGTTACTGATTGATGATTAAGTTTTCCAACCCATAAATTAGCTAATTGGAAATTCTTTCTAATAAATAATCTATATAAATCAACTTGAAATTGACTCTCTGTATAAATATAAACAGAATAATTAATTTCAGTTATTGTTTTAGGTTTTTTTACAAGGTCACTTGGAATATTAGCATTTGATCGAAGTAGAGACATTAACGGTGTAATTGCCATAACATTTTGTTCTTTATAATATACAATAATACCAAGGTCGTTAAATAATTGAAGTGGATCTGGTCCATATACTTTTTTAAAACGATCACAATTATAAATAATGTTTTCTTTTAAATATGTCATTTCAAAAACATCATTAATAAATGGTGATATTCTTCTTTGAATAAGACCAATAATACTAAGCATAATAACCCAAAGTTGTGTTTTTGTTTCTTGAAATAAAAATTGGTATCCTTTTCGAGTTATTTGTCTAGTTTCTTCTTTAACTAATTCCAAATCTTTAAATATTCTTAATGGATTATTTGAAATATTTGGTTGACTATTAAATTGAAGTAATTTATTCATAAAATATTCAAATGTTTTAATACAATTTTCTTTTAAACATTTCTCTTTAATTATTTGTGATACTTTTTCATTAACTTCTTTAATTTTATATGCTGGTTCCATTGATCCTATAAGATTCATTTTAAAATTATTCTGAAAGTCATTATTTAGTTTAATATACAAAATTCCATTTTCTTCTTCTTTATCAATAATGTGAATGCTATGGATTGTATTAATCACTTCGTCCATTGTTTCATTTGGTATTTTAAATTGATTATACAATTCATGTATAGTGATTCTTTCCTTTAGAAAAATAATTCTTAATAACAAACTTTGACACATCCCAGGTAATAACCGAAATATTTCTGAACATGTCCATTTCGATTTATATGCTGATTTCATGGCTATTTCTGGTAAAACTTGAAAATATTTAATAATGTCCTTTTCTATTATATTATTTTCCATTAAATTTTTAAGTTTTTCTTTATTTTTTTTAATTAAAAAACTATCCAAACACTCTCTATCTATTCATCATATCTTGTTAGGATGTATTGAAGAAGAAACAAATACACAGAAATATATTAATTAGACATTTCAATGAATTTGATTCAGCAGAATTTAATACTCCTCATAAATGTATTAATAATAATGAAATAGTTATAACTTACATTAATGATTTAATAATGATCATCTTTCAATCTCGAAGATCAGATATATTATCAAAATATAAAAGATAAAAAAAGGATGTGTTATTCACATTGGTGTGTTTCAAGATAGAAGTATCGAATTAAATTTATTTCCAAAATAAATATAAAGAATTACAACAGAAGTTAAGACAAAATTGAAAATTAATATATCGAGAAATACTCCTTATTATATGAACAAACAAATTAATACATAACGAATCACGAAGAAGATTATAAATAATAAAATTACAAATATATTTCAACAGTACATTACAAGCAACTATTAAAAACATGGAATATCTAATGTCTTATAGGTCTGGTGCTTGTGGCACATTAATCGAAGAATATTTTAATATGACTGTACTTGAAATAAACTCATGGCATGGTTTAAACACAACGAAATCATTTAAATAATAATTTTTATGATTTATATGGATTTAATTTTATATTTTTTAAACTTGTTTCAGTTTTAAATTAGGAAAAAATTTTTTATTAAAAAGGAAAAAAATATTCGGATATAAAACAATAAAAGGAAAAAGGAACTAAGAAATTAAAAGAACTAAGAAATGACGAAGGAAGAATGGAACCAATTATTGACCCGATCAACATCACACAAATAAATATTGAGAAATATGGAGAAGGTGTATTTTCTTCAGAGAATCCTATAACATCATCAGTAACAATAGATAAAGATATGGTGATGTTATCTACTAAACAAGGGATATTACTATATAACATCACCACCAGGTCAGTAGACCGTTATTTTTCTGAAGGACCTGTTTTATATAAAATTCATTTAATTCCTGAATACTCATTAATGGTAGCACTCAAACTATCACGAATTGTTTTCTATATTTATCAGCCACAAGCACAGACAATAAATCAATTTCTTACTCCAATGGTTAGACTGACTACTAATGCAGTTCAATACCACACCATCACTATGACTTGTCTTAAGAAATCTATTGTTATTGCTGGAGTAGATAAAGACACAAAATGTGAATTAACTGTTGGTCAATACTCTTTTAACGGTAATGTGTTACAAAAAATTACATTGATGAATTCAAATGAAAGTATCGTAGATATATGTTTTATTAATATTTGTCTTTGTGTTATTACTTCAAATGAATTAAAAGTTATTCCTTGTTTGAGAAAAGGAAGAGTATTATCTAAGTCGATCAAGTTAAATGAACTCCCATCATTTACTCGTATTTCTCCTGCTCAAATTCTTGTTAAAATTAACTCAGAATTATTCTCATTAACTGACACTTCTATTGTACCAATAGAATCTACTGCGCCAATCAATGGAGTATTATTATTACCACCCTTGATTCTATTGTTTCATGAATTGAACCCACATCGATTTTTTATGTCATATATCATCAATAATAATAATAAACCATCACAAATGGTAAGAAGACCTGAATTTACACATATAACAAATATTATTTCACCTTTAATATTTTGTTTACCTTGTAATAGATTGTGTATTGTTTCACTCAAAACAGAATATTATAAACAATCATTAATCGAAGGAAGATTCGAAGAAGGTTTATTAATGAATAAACGAGGTACTGAAGAAGATAAAAAATGGGATATAGCTGGATGTGTATTAAGAGTATATGAATTATTAAGTCAAGTTTATCAAAACTACAAGATAGAAAAAGTGATAAGAAGTGAGACATTAGAAGAAATACTTAAATTGTTAAATAGAACAAAAATGAATATTTTATCAAACAGTATTATCATTGAATACATCATCAGAGATTTTTGTCCTTCATTATTTCACTCTATGCATTCACTATTTCAATTAGGTACAAATGATATTTCAATGAAAATAATGGAACAATTTCCAGAACAATTATATCACAGATTAAATGATTTAATGAGAATGTTTCTTGAATTAAGAGCAAGTATGATCAAAAAGAAATTAATTCCTACTTTAGCAATATCCCAACGACATGCATTTCTTCCATTGTATCAAGCACATTTTGATAGTGATGATAAAACGTCAGCAACAGCATGTGTATTAATTCAATTATATATCTTTGGAAATACAATTACACCATCTATTAAACAATATATTAATAAACATAAAAATATTGATAATTCTATAATCGAATTGGCATTAAAACCATATGAAAGTTGTCTATTAGATTTTCTTACTTTAATGGATGATGTCCCTCGTATTATGGGATTAAAACTGAGTGATCCATTATTAAGATTGGATGCTCTTGTTTCAATTGCTAAAAACCGACAGTGGAACGGAGAAATTAATGATCCATTAGCAATAGCCTTTCAAGAAATTGTAATTACATCATTTAAAAGGTTATTATATTCACCAGTAATAGATGGAAGTAAAGAACTTCAAATTATTTTGTTTAGAATCTTTGGTGGAAAAGATTCTTATTTACCACCAAAGGTAGTACTAAATTTATTAGAAGCATGGGAAGTATCAAAAAATTCAATGGTTAATAATGAAGCATCTAAACGAATGAAGATATTATATTTAACTGGATTATTAGATCAATACCAAAATGAAAAGGCACCTAATTGGTTAGTTAATTGGTGTTTTGTTGAATACGTTCAATACACACATTCTATGGCATCATTAGGTGTAAAAGTACCTTTAAATTTATTAAATAAGTGTATTTGTTTAATTGAAGAATATCCACAAATTGCAAGTCAGTTAGAAAAGATAACGAATGTTTTATCATGGGGAT